CTTTAGATTCACTTTCCATTTTATCTGAGAAGTGCAATGAAATATTTCTGTCTTCCTCCTTCTTCCCTATACAGATATATCTTTCTTGATTAGTATTTCCACTGAAATAGTACAATATTTAATATGAAATGAGAATTCTTACAATGGGAGAATTCTTACAATGCAGTTCTAACGATGTAGGATTTATGAAACTGTCACCCAAAATACTCATTAATTCTCTCCTACATACAGATTTTAACTATAAATTCCTATTCATTCCAGTAATCTAATTGCAAACACTGATTCTTATTTGAGGCTGCCTTTTGAAATACAGGGGCGGAGGGATCCTATTGCCCCGAGACAGTATCTCAGTGGCCTTCAGATTATTTGGAGCCCCAGTTATGTAGGAAAACAGCTCTGATGGCAGAGCTGGGACTCCGTGCTTGGAGTGGCCCCTCCCTCACTGCACGCGCTGCTTCTTCGAGGTTGTAAAAGCAACCTAGGAGATGTGGGTTAATGGGCGCCAGGTTACAATGAATCTTGGGAGCACTTTAGCCTCCTTCCCTCCCCATGCAAAGCACAGCTAGATGGCTGAAAACTGCTTTGCGGGACGGGAGGAGCAGAACGATCTTCCCCGTCACAGTCCTCCCAGCCCGCGTGGGATGCCCATTGGCCTCTGAGACTGGAGGTTCACAAGCAGCCTCATGGGACGGTGCCCAAGAGAGCAGGCCAGTCGATCTCCTTGGGATGTAATTTTGAGCGAACATGCACAGGACCGTGCTCTCAGTCGGATTATTGCATCGGTCAAGTCTGATTTTAAAATACCAGAATACCCAAAACCTACTGCAGTTAAACAACTGCTATGAAAAAAACCCCTAAACTGTTTTTGATCCAGTGCATCAACATTATTCACTAAGGAATTATCCGCCAGGTCCCTAATTTGCCATCTGTTGTACCAGGTGATTGGAGCGATTGAAGCGATTATACTATGGGGACTTTCACAGGACAACTCATGGAACCAACATAGTGCATGCAAATCACCTTATCCCACATGCATCCGCGAGAACAATGCACACGTCAAACACCAGTCACCGATCTAAATCCCCCGAACCATCAAACAGAGGAAACAATCAACTAACAAACTCAGATCCCCTTCTCTTCGTGATGACATGAGCAAAACATTTAATGTTGGACACAATCCCGGCAAAGCCAATCCGTTTTAATTTCCATTGATTTCAGCAGATGCATCGAGCGACTGGTCAGATTTCTCTCATGAAGCCCCACTCCCCTTCCCTCAGTGGGGAGGCCACCCACTGTATGGTCCCAGTCTCAACCCAGAGCATTTCCACTCAGAACTGGGAAAGGCCCTTCCTGGCTTAAGTACTGCTGCTGGTCAGTGTGTTAAATTCATTAAACCTGGTTAGAGTAGACCCACCGAACTTAAGCAGGACTAAAGCTGGTCCTAACCTATTGTATACTTTGCCAGAGTAGCACCAACACTGCATTTAACCCATGCCACAATGGTTTGGCATAGTATAAGGCACCTTTGTGTGTTTATCTATGAACGTCAGGATTGGTTACATTTGGCTGGATTGTGGCCATGGATTGTAAATAAGTATATTTACCAAATTCCCAATTCATATTAAAACATGAGTTATAAAAAATGACACCAGAAAGCCTAAATAATTTGTTTTTATGGGATAAGTTTTGTGAAAGTCAGTCACTGAAGCGGACAAGGACAACACACAATGGCAATCACGTTATTAACAAATAACACAGACCTGCTGTTGGCAACAGAAGTATCTTTGGGAAGGCCAATTAACCCATGTAGTTTGATTTTAAAACTCTTCAGCCCAATTTTATTGCACTACATGGGTTAACTGGCTTACTCAATGATTGGGTTCGCAGAACACAAAGATTGAGTGTAGGTTATTGTTGAATTGTTGTATGTTCTCTTGTGTGAATACAGCCACACTAACCAACTATAGTTTATTTACCATGAACAAGCCACAAAGAGAATCTGTAGGATGTTTTTGGGTTATGAACTGTGAGTTCTTCGTGGTTAGCAAACCACGGTTTGGTAGCACAGCTGGGTTCACACAATATGAAGCCCATGGCTGAACAAGCCACACTCAACCCATATTCCAGCTTCTTGTGTGAACTTGGTCAACACCTGCTATTTATATTATCAGCAGGAACTGTTTTGTGGTTGGCCACTATTATTAATATGATGGCCACTGCTTTAGTTTCTGTATTTCATTTGCCTCTCACCTGTTTACAACCCCCACCTGCAAAACCATTGTTATATATACCTGTAGTTCAGAATAATACTTTAAACTTCCCATGAAGCGGACAGCAGCCTATGAAAACTTCTGCCATGATAAATGTGCTAATTCTTAAGGTGCCACAAGATTCTTTGTTGGTTTTGCTACAACAAACAAGTATTTGCTACTCCTCTGGAGTATATCAAATGTGAAACCAAACCAAATGTTGGCAATGCTAAACCCAAAAGACTGGAATCATACAATGAAAGGAGATGACTAAGATATTGTCTATATTTCCCCTTATTCTTGCTCAATCCTTTCCTTTGATTGTTCATCAAAGGAACTTCCCACTGCATTGTTCTCTCTCACTCATCTGGATATGGATCCTATTCTCTTTTGCACTCCAACACAGGTATCAACACTTTGCTAGAGGAAGGAACTTCAACAGTAAGAGAGCCAGTGTGGAACTAGGAAGGAGTCTAATCCCCATGTGGCCATGAAGCTCACTAGGTGCCCTAGGCTGATCACAGACTCTCAGCCTAGCCTACCTCACAGGGCTGCTGTGAAGAAAAAAAATAGATGAGGACTACATAAAGCTGCCCTGGGTTCCTTGCATGAGGAAAAAAGGCAGGCTATAAATGCAATAATAGTTTAGCTGAAAATATAGATTAAGAGCAGAAATACATAATGCAATTGTCTTACAACCTTAGGGACTTTTTAATAGTCAGTATTAAGAAGTTCTGCTTCTGTTTTTGGGAGGGGACTGAATTCAAAGCTTTGCTAAGCAATCTGAGCCCCGGCAGATTCAAAAGAGCCAGAAACACCAAATATTACATTATGGATGTAGCAGACTAGCAAGTCAAACAACACAGCATCATATGCAGTAACAGAGAAACTATAACTTGAAGCACAAGCACCCGTGACAAAGCAACGCAGACAAAAACAGGCACAAAAGACACGCAGAAGGTGGAATGGGGAATCTCGTGGTTAAGATGCTGAGTTGTGATCCTGTGCGCCAGTCCTTCCTTCTGCCCCTCTCCTCCCCAGTTTACTGACCTAGTACCAATATCCTACCTTCCCTCTGCGACAGAACTCCCAGACATTGTCCAGACCCCACACAGCTTTAGTTCGACTGAGGTATCGTCCATGCCCAGACTACCCTCTAGAATCAGGGATACCTGCACCGAGGTGAGCCACACTCAACCCCTCACCTGGGTTCCTGTGTCACGGCTTAAGAGGAATCTGGTTCTGGTTCGCATTAACCAAGACTAGAGCCAAACTTGCTTTAAGGGTGAAGGGGTGATGACTCCAGAGGAGGAGGAGAACCTAGAGAAGGAACCCACAGCCCCCCAAATCTGCTCCTTCTCTCTTGACTGGAGTTGAGAGATGCGTAGAATACTAGTAGATCAACTTGAACATTTAAGAAGCTCAGACGAGGAAAAGCTGGATGCTGGCTAACTGTCTGAATGCCTGCATAAGGCTTTAGGGAAATGTGTGTTAACCTTATCTTAGAGGTAAGACCCAAGCACAAAATGTATAAGGATATCTAAAAGGGTTCACACTTCATGTAATAATGCTAATCCGATCGACTGAAATGCCTTTTCAAAATGAATATGGTGACTTCCACCAATACAAACAATGCCTCTCATTAGGAAAGTTAATTATGCAACATGCAGAATTTTCGAGTGAGTGTTACATAAAACTTCTCCTATCCTTGTTTTTGTGTGCAACTCAAAGTGGCTCATGAATTAAAAGAAGCTGGCACCCTCTCTGATTACCAATCCTACTGGAGCTCTGAGAATAAATGCAGCTTAAAGAGAAGCGCCACACAGCATAGCTGCTGCTTGGGGCGCCTTTTCCAACCTGAGACTTCAGTGACAGAGGAAACTGCAGGTATTCAGGACAGTTCCTGAGTGGCAGAGTTAGATAATGTCATGGAGCGTGGACTGGATAGTCCCCCTGGGCAGGTGGGCACTGCTTGGGCAGTGCGTTGTGTCAGTGTGGATTGTCTGCCCTCCTGCTCATTCTGGTGAGAGGAGACTGACTATCTGCCCCAAGGTCCTGCCCTTATGATGCCACTCCTGCTTCTTCAGCTGCTTCCTTCCTGAGCCAGAAAATCAGAAATCTAGAGCCAGGCTGGGTAACTTAAATCCTTCCAGATGTTTTAGTCTACACTTTCAGTGTTGGCTATGCTGGTCAGGTCTGCCAGATGTTCCAGGGCAAATCATGTGGAAAACCACAAGGTGGCAACTCCTAAACTAGAGTAATCCGTTAATTTCTTTCAATCAATCACAGACGCGTCGTGCAGGCAGATGTTACTGCTCAGGTTGGGTCTAGAAGGGCCCGCTCTGCTTTTGATAAACTGTTCATGGTTTTCTTACCCCAAGGGAAGCTCTAAGAAATCGGGTTTTGCCGATCTGCAGTGTGGTTCAGTTTGAACAAGGGAAGTTCCAGCTCTGACCACGGGCAGACTTCCTTCTCCCTAGTTTGCAACTGGGCTTATTTTATTTTAAACTAAAGGATAACAAATAAGTGAACACTGGTTTCCAACAGAAAGACAGCCTCAGAGTATGCTGCAGGAAGCAAGAGGCGGGAAAGCTGAACCAGGGCCCAGCTTGCCGGGACGTATGGCTGCCATGGAAACCGTGAGGTCAGGTTCATTGCTTTATACCCTTCAAATACTATCTTTGCCTTCACTCTAAGCCAAGAGGGACTATCTAACGGCAAGAAAGGATCGCATTCAAGAATACATCTTACTAAACTTGGATTATTCCAAATGTATTTCACCTGTGCTGGCTATATGATACTGGATAAAGCTTCCTTTCTCTACAAAGTTTTTGTCACACTTGAGGCTTCCATACGATTTCACTCGTAAGTGGACTCTGTGGTGCACACGCAGGTGTGAGTGCCGACCAAAACATTTCCCACACTCCAAGCACTTATAGGGTTTCTCCCCTGTGTGGACCCGTTGGTGCTTGACGAGGTTTGACAGCTGAGCAAAACATTTCTGACACTCCAAGCACTTGTAGGGTTTCTCTCCTGTGTGAACTCTTTGATGGCTCACGAGGGCTGAGCGCTGGGCAAAACACTTCCCACACTCCAGGCATTTATGGGGTTTCTCTCCTGTGTGGACTCTTTGGTGAGTCACGACATCAGAATGTATTGCAAAACATTTCCCACATACCAGGCATTTGTAGGGTCTCTCTCCAGTGTGGATTCTCCGGTGTTTCACAAGATCTGATTGCTGCGCAAAACATTTGCCACACTTCAGGCACCGGTAGGGTTTTTCTCCCGTGTGGACTCTCTGATGATTCACAAGGTTTGACTGGTGAGCAAAACGTTTTCCACACTCCTGACATTTATAGGGTTTTTCTCCAGTGTGGACCCTCTGGTGGTTCACGAGGACCGACTGACGTGCGAAGCATTTGGCACACTCCAAGCACTTGTATGGTTTTTCTCCTGTGTGGACTCTTTGGTGATTAATAAGGACCGAGTGACGAGCGAAACACTTCCCACATTCCAGGCATTTGTACGGCTTCTCTCCTGTGTGCACCCGTTGGTGTCTGACGAGTTGTGATCTCTGGGTAAAGCATTTCACACACTCCAAGCACTGATAAGGTTTCTCTCCGGTGTGGATCCTGTGGTGATTCACAAGAACTGACTGACGCGAAAAGCATTTCCCACACTCCTGGCATTTAAAGGGTCTCTCTCCTGTGTGCACCCGCTGGTGTTCCACAAGTTCAGAGTGATGAACGAAGTATTTTGTGCACTGTAGACACTTGAATGGTTTCTCACCCATGTGAATAATCCGATGCATCCGAAGTTCTGATTTCTGAGCAAAACTTTTGCCGCACTTACGGCATGTGTTCTTTTTCCTCAAGCCACCTGCTGGAATAAAGAGACAGAAAGGGATAATCCTTGATCCCGGAAGAGAAAATAGTAAGATCAGTAGACAGACTATGTTGGGTAGCAGTATGGGTAGGAAGGAAACTGTTAAAATCCTGAAGAAATTCCTGCCACAGATTGTTTGCCTGACAGGCCACCAACCTAGATGGTTTTAAAAAGGGAGGGCAGGCCCTGCCAGTAAGCAGAGTGAGGCGGCTAAGTATTCTGTGCAGGAGGCGGCTATCAAAACCAGTTGCTAGTCATGGTAGCTCAATGGATCCTCCATGATGGCCATCCCCATGCCTCCAAAAGCCAGCTGAGAGGGGCAGGCTGGAGCCGCGTGACAGAGCGCAAGCCATGCATGTTAAGAGGCTCCGGGTTTGCCTGCCAGCGTGTCCAAGTAGGGCTGGAAAAATCTGCCGGAAGCCCTCCCAGGCAGGGTCGACAGCACGGGGCGATATGTGGGTCAGGATGAGCCCCGATGCGGCTTCCTTCATATCCTCCTGGGGACTTTTTAGAAGCCTCTGGTTGGCCACTGTGGGAATATGGGGAAATGAACGCTGGGTTTCCTCTGATCCAACAGGCCTTGTCTCATAGCCTTATGGAATAGTCTGAAAATGAGGGCCCATTGCACAAAGATCCTATTGTTTTCTGAAGCTCCCTGGATGGGTTATAGCAACACAGCTCAGTAACTCCACCAGTTTTACCTTACAGCACTCACTCAGTTGGTGTTTCTACATGGCTGTCTATGTTGCTATTATCTATGACTTTTAATTAATTAATTAATATATTAGTACTAATATCATTTCTTATTGCATGCCAGCTGTCCCCAGAACTGGTGTCCTGCAAAGCTGCTGGATTACTGCATGACAGGCTGGGCATGATGGGAATTGTAGTCAGAGGATTCTAGAGGACACCAGGTTGGGAACAGTCAGTGTATATTGCATGACTTCCTTCAGGGGAAAGAAAACCCTCCACGGTGGGAGAAAATGGCTGAGGGCTGTAGCTTACCACACAGGACTGGCGAGGGCGGGTTGGACAGTCCCCAGCGGATCGCTGGCCAGTTGGCGTAGGCCAGTCCCTCGCCTGAGAGGCGGCTATCCAAGCCCAGGGAATCTGACAACCATGGATTTTCACCTCGTTCCAACCGAGAGATGAGGTTAGGCTTGGGAGCCAGAAATCCTTGATAAAGAGAATAATTAAAATTAATCAACAGATTCATAGAACAGTAGAGTTGGAAGGGGCCAAGAAGGCCATTGAGTCCAACCCCCTGCTGGTGCAGATCTCCAGTTTACCCCATATCTCTCACTTAATCCTCCAGAAAACATGGACAACAGCAGAGCACATACTAAAACCAGTGCTTTGTGTTTTTCTAGCATTATGAAGCAAGAAATCAAGTTCCTTACCCAGTGAGGCCAAATTCTCATAATTTTCCATCATGACTTCTTTGTATAAGGCCCTCTGATTCGGGTCAAGCAATGCACCCTGTCTCTTGGTGAAATACACAGCTACATCTTTAAAAGTCACTGGTCCCTGAAAGAGTGAAGAGTCCGTGTTCAGCCTCCACTACTTCAAAAACCCTCTCAGAGGTTCAGTCACAGTATGAATGCCTGCAAATAGTTCAGCCTGAAACTTGTTAATGTACAGCTGAAAACAGAAGCAAATAGATCATGGGTACAACCGCTGTAGGAGTGGCATATTCACCTGTATTCTAAGCCTAACCCTCTGGGCATTTGGGGAATGCAAAGGCAGGGAACTGGGATCACACCTGCTAGGTAAGCTCTCCTGAATGCCTTCTAGCCAGGTAGAACTCACAAGGACAACATCCTTTTTATTCAAACGTCATTTTAACTGTTAATACTATTTATTTATTTTATTCTTCGGCCAGGGTGACTTATTTTATATTGTTAACTTGTTTTATATTTTTATTGTATAATGTTTTAATTGATATGTTTGTGAGCCGCCCCGAGGCTTCGGCGAATGGGGCGGCATAGAAATTTTCTAAATAAATAAATAAATAAACATCCTGGAGAGAAGGAAGGAAAAGGCAGAGGAGGGGAATTCAGTTCAGAAAGCCAGCAAGAAGGGGTGAGTTGTCTTAAAGAACCTGAAACACACTGATCATTTGAACAGCAACACAGTTATAAGTGATTTGGGGGCTTATGGAAGTAAAAGTTACCAGAGGGGCCTAGACAATGAGAACAGGCATAAGGAGATATTTACTAATGCATAGATTGGTGGATGGGGGTTATTCTTAAAATAATCATTATGTAAGCCTCTGTAACACTCCTTTCCCCATTTCAAGCTGAGCATGCTGCAGATCTGAAGAAAGTTTTCTTTTTAAGTATTACATTTGTTTTCACCCCTCTGAACATGTTACATCTGTTTTCACGCTCAGGGAATGATACCCAATCCTTCACAGTAATAGCACTTTTCTGGAATTGAGAGAAATAGCTCCCCTCACCATCTGTTCCACTTGAGAGGAGGACTTTGTGAGGCTTAATGTTTCAGGTACCTGAGGTAGCTGGACTGCAGCCCTTTGCCATCCTTTGGAAAGAGGAGATGACTCAGACAGAGACATGGCCCTTGTTCTGTGTGCTGCAGAGGTGAAAGGAACAAGAAAAACGAGAACAAGTTCACACAAAGGAAGAAGGAAACGCCTCCCTCCCTTGTTCAATAGGATTTGCATTTTCAGAGATGAAAACAATGGACGTGAGAAAGCAGTTATATAGCAACAGTATTCACAATATAGAAACTAACTGTATAGCAAGATGTCGAGGGATAACTTTACAAACTGGGGTGGAAAAATGCCTTGCTCAGATGCTGAAGATGAAACTCAAATACTTTGGCCACCTAATGAGAAGGAAGGACTCCCTGGAGAAAAGCCTAATGCTGGGAGCAACAGATGGCAAGAGAAGAAGGGGACGGCAGAGGATGAGGTGGCTGGATGGAGTCACTGAAGCAGTCGGTGTGGGCTTGGGTTGACCCTGAGGGATGGTGGAGGACAGGAGAGCCTGGAGGAATGTTGTCCATGGGGTCGCGAAGGGTTGGACATGACTTCGCAACTAGCAACAACTAGTGACAAATGCCCTGAGTATGGCAGTTCCAGAGAGGTAATAGCCATCAACAGACCTGTCCTCCATAATCTTGTCTAAGCCATTCTCCCAACAACATCTAAGCTACTGTCCATCACCACATCTTCTGGGAATAAATTAACTGTAGATACGTGAACTAGCATAACTGCACAATGAAAACCATTTTCTTTTCAGCCCTTTAGAGAACTTCACTGGTAATCAGAATACTATCAAGCAAGGTTTTTTAAAATCTAGGATTCCTATTAACAGCTAAAGGATGCAATGAAACAAGCAAGCAAGCAAGCAAGCAAGCAAGCAAGCAAGCAAAAACACCATTGCCACTTTCCAGTATGCCTCCCACCCATATAACCTTAGTTTCTGAAAGGCCTTAGTTTCTAACCTTAGTTTCTCCTTCCATAGATACCTGCCCGGTCCTTAAGGGCTTCTATGGAGGCTCTTCTCTGAGCTCTGAGGGGAAGGGCCTTCTCTGCAGCAGCACATTGGTTGTGGGATATGCTCCCCAGAGAGGTTCATCTGGCACCGACTCTTTATTCCTTCCGGCACCAGACCAAAACCTTTTTATTTAACCAATATTTTAATTGTTGATTTTAATATATATCTGACTTAATCTTATTTTAGTCAAGTGCTGTAAATTCTTTTTATGTTTTTATTATTGCAAACTGTCTCGAGGTTGTCTAAGAAAGTAACAGGTGGTATAGAAACATTTTAAATAAATAAATAAGATAAATGAGGGGTGAGCCGCAGCGCAGAGAAGGAACGAGTAATTATGAGGGAAGAGTTTAATATGCAGATGTGCCGGCTCATGGTTGGCTCCAGGAACCCACATAAAGTAGGAACCCTGGCATTTTTCTTGTGCAAAATTAAGCGCTAGCCTCAGCCACTTTTAAAATATAGTGCTGGGTGTCCATCCCACCTCCTATGCCACTTCTTCGCTCATGAACAAGCTTCTTTACTTTTGCCACAGTCTGGAGAGCTCTGAAAGCTCTAAACACAGAAGTAGTCTTGCGGCACCCCAAAGACGGGGTGAGGTGATGGGATGTCATGGCTAAAAGGGCGGGTCTGGGGCACAAGCAATTTGTCTTGTAGTCCCCGCTCAGCCATGGAGCCAACTGGGTGACTTTGGGCCAGTCACTGACTCTCTGCCCAACATACCTCACAGGGTTGTTGTGGGAATGAGACTGAGACCAGGAGAAAGAGAATGATGCATGCCACTATAAGTTCTTTAACAGGAAAAGGCGGGATATGGGATATAAATCTAATAAATAAATAAAGGCCAACAGATTTGATAGTAGCAGAAGGTGATTGGACAAATGGAGTGTTAACCTCAGCCAGCAAATAGGCAACAGCATTTTTATCAGTCAGTTAATCAACAAGATACTTTATACTGTACTAAAAATACCCTGATTAACTACTCAGCAGATTTCTTTCCTTTTAAAATGTGCATGTATTAGAACAAAAGAAAAGTCATGATTTATCAAAGCAACAGATGGCATAAGACGCTTTCCCTTCAATCTCCCTCACACAGAATAGTTCTGAGGCATCACTGAATCAATCATTTCGAAATACAAGCTCTTTTCTTCTTCCTTCAAAAGTATGATTTAATTAGGCGCAAATTTCTGTTGTTACAATAGATTAAACGCGTATTCCTGCACAAGTTGAGAGCGATAAAGGCCTACAACTCCCAGCATGCCGTGCTGAGAGTTGCAGACCTTTTGCTGTCTCCACTTGCACAGGAGAGTGCCATAAGGGGCAACCTTACTCACCCCTTCCCGGAGGGCAAGTCCCATTCAATGTAATGAGCAGACGTGCACTGTTGGCTGTGGCCATTATTCGATTGCAGTTTCTTTAATTGGGCGACGGCAACCGAACAGAGCTGTACTGAGCGAGGAAAATCTGAGACCCACAAGCTACAACATGCCACCGTGTCTCATTTTTCTCCGTCCGCATCTATCTGCCAGCTGACACGAACTCCTGACCCTTCCGATGAACTGGACTCGGTCCCTGGAAGCTCCTGCCACTGTAAATCGATTAAGGCTTGCAGGCGCGACAAAGGTCTCCCAGCAGGCGTGCATCGATTCCACACCGGAGTCTGATCAGCCGCGTCGGCTCCCGAACGGCACAGAAATGATCAACGCTCCAACTTCTTTGTCTGTCTGTCTTTCATCTCTTCCTGTTTTTTCTCTCTCTTTCCTTCCGCACATTATTATATTGCTACCAAAAGAAGTCCTAGCCTCGCTCCCTCCTTCCTATCTCCCGCTACACCGTCTGCACCCACCTTCTTTCCAGCTCTAGATTTTCTTTTTCCGGATTTTTTCTGTTTGCTTTTTCTTTTCTCACCTATGCACCGGGCGGGGGCGGGGGGAGAAGGAAACAAAGGGAAACCCGAAGTATTGTCCCTCCCTCCCTCCCTCCTAGCAAAGAGGCAGGAATCGGACGGGGGGGCAGCAAAGGCCTCCGCCCCCCACTCGCCCCCCGCCAGCGGGGCAAGCGGTCCCGTCTCCGCCGCTCACCCGCATCGGCGAGCGGCGCGGAGGCTCTTCCAGGAGGATTCCCCGCGGCCCCTTCTCCCCGAAGATCCCTTCCCCGCGATCCCCGACCCAATCTCAGCTAGATCTCTTGGCAAGACGGATTTAAGGAGCCCCCCCCCCGTTGCCGGGAGTTGTAGTCCTCCCCTTTCGCCTGCCAAGCTCGAAGCATTCTGGGAGCTGTAGTTCTCCCAACCTTCGCTTTATCTCGCAGGTCCCGGCCACCGTTTTCGTGTATACGAAACAAGGCAGAGGCTCTACAGTATGTGCTTCTTTGCAATTTAAAAACAAACGTATTGCGGAATTTAAAATATTGTGATCCTACGTGCCAAGACCTATTAGTCTTACTGATTTTTTCATTTATATTCCACTTTTTCCCTCAAGACTGCTTAGGGATCCTCTTGCTTTCCATTTCAGACTCACAACAGCCCTGTGAGGTAGGACAGGCAGTGACTGACTGGTGCAAAATCACCCAGTGAGATCCATGGCCAAATGGGAACTAGAACCTGAAACTCCCAAGGGCCCATCTAACACTCTCACTGCTACACCACATTGGTTCTCCAGTCTAGTTAAATCAATGCCAACAATTATAATATTTCAACAAGTTAATTTGTTCTACCATAAGCTTTTGTGGGCACCGTTCACTTTCTAAAATGGCGACCATTAAGATAATTAGCACTGTATCTTTCTTGCTTCGCAGTGCTGTGCTTCATTATGTTAAGCACCTCACCGTTCAACCATTCATAAAAGCATGGGACACAAATACTTTAAAAGCAGCACAACATTTCCAATATGCAAAAATTAAACAAATTTAACAGATAAAACATTTTTTGCATAAATGAGACCTGTAAAAACCAGCTGATGTAAATGCTGCTTCTTACCTTTAAACAGCCTTAAACTAATATTTTTATTAAACAAAACTTTTAATTTTGGAATAAAAACTTTTAAAAAGCTTTATAGTATTCCGATTCTAATCCATCTAACCCAGGAGAGTTCCCTTTTTTCGGCTCTCTTCTGTTTCTTCCTCTTTAATTGTTTGTTCCATTAGGTCTATATTCATCTGTTGTAATTTCCCCCCAACATTTTTCTCTATATATGATTTAACTTCATCTAATGATAATTTTCCACCTGTACATAGCTTAGGAAAAAAATATAAAATATTCTGGATTTTTCTCTTGTTTATTTACAGCATTTCTACCTTGTTCTCAACAGTGTCTCAGGACAGCTTACAACATACAACATTGTTACAGCTCATATGGCTTCAACATTGTTAAATTACACTTCTCCAATTTTCATTCCTAATTATTCCAATTAAAATTTTAATATTCTTTTGTTGTGCAGAATTGGCCAACAATCTTGAATTCTTATTATTAAATTCAAAGCACTTCCTCTTCAAATATATTAGGTTTCTCTATATTTTTTAACTTCTATATTTTCCAATTCCTTTTTAGCTTGCATTTCTGCTAGAGTTTTTAAATATTATTATTATTATTAGTGTTATTATTTTCACAACATATACAATTACATGGAAAAAACAAAACAAAAGAAAAACTAACAAACAGAACAAACTAATGTGAACAAAATAAAGTTGCCAAGGGAATTACAAACACAGCCCATATACAGCAGCCCCCTGAACCAACTCTCTTTCTATGCTCGATGAGAGTTTGCAAAAAAGAAATAAATATTGTTCTATACATCAACAGATTTTCTAACCAGTTCAGAGTCTAATGCTTTTCCTTTTTTCCTTCTAAACCCCTCTGAACTTCCATTAATCATGCTAAGCATGATAAAAATTTCCATTTGTCATTAAATTCCTCTAAGGGTTTTCTATTTACATAATTAGTTAGATTTGCCATCACTGCATTTTCTGCTAATCCCTTTCTCCCTTCTTCAATGGTTGGGGGCTCCAATGATTTCCATTTTGAAGCTATTATGATTCTTACTGCCACAGTCATTAAATATCTCTGACATATATTGTAAAAGGGTCTCCAGCACAATATTCAGCTGCTAGGGTTTTGACTTCTCTCTTTTGTACATATTGCTTCTCTAATTCTTTTATTTCCCTTTCCAAAATGTCTAACTGTTTAATCTTTTTTCTTTTCAAAATATATGCCTCTTTTATACTTATTCCTCTTGCAGCCACTTTCATGTGTCCCTTAGTAAGCCTTCATCACTACCCTATTTCCCAAATTTCTTTTAACTCTTTCTCCATGTTGTCTACTGTATCCCTATAATGTAAAATGTTGGGATCCATCTCCCCTCTTCAGCTTCTTTATAATCACATTTAGTTCTAAAATCTATATTTACCAAAGCATAGTCTGTCACTTTTATCACACCAATGTTCGATTTATACACTTTACTAAACACATCTTTAGACACAAATATATATTCTAGAATAAGTTTTATGAACTGAGGAGTAGGAAGTAAACCCTTTTTCATCTCTCCATACATTTCTCAACCTATTTTAATTTACCATTTTACTCAACATTGTAATATTGTGCCTTCTTTCCTCTTTAATAGGATTTTGCTTATCCCTTGTTTTATTCATTACCACAAAAGTCTCCAGCCATTATTACATATAATGAACTTTTGGAAAGAGGCTTTTAAAGACAGTAGTAAAATATTAAGTTTAAATATTAAAATAGCCCTGAGATTGCATGACCCACAATATTTGATAAGAAACAATGGAGTTGGAATGATAAAGAATTAATAACAAATTTAATAACTGCTGGAAGATTAATCATAGCTAAGAATTGGAAAGTAAAATATGATTATTACTTGTGTAACTGGTATGGAGAAGTTTGGACTATAACTATTAATGATAAATTAACTTGTGATATTAAAGTGAAAAAGGGCATATAAAGAAAAATAAATTTAATGAGATTTGGGGTGTTTTAAATATGTGTTTTAAAAAGGGAAGGATTTGAGCTGTCACAAGAATCATTGCAGCTTTGGAAGGGGGAAATTCCTGAAAGAATTTTTGAATGAGTTCTCAGCATGTATCCTATGGTCCAGGTGATGGGTGCACAATATTTTTAAGTTTTATTTTAACTGTATGTTTAATATGTTTCTATTTTAGCTGTAAGTTCTTATTTGGTTATATTTTATATTGTAACACTGATTTGAAGCTTTTTAAAAATATCCTTAAACCCCAATAAATGACTGGGGGAAGAGTGCAGACTAACCTGGGGCTGAAAAGAGAGCAGACTTTGCAGCAGGAAGTGGGAAGATCATTCCAGAATCAGGAGGCTCCTCCTTGGTGGTGACACCTCGAGAAAGGGCTCAAATATGGTCAAGAATATGGAAGAATCCCAATAGATTCCACCTGAGAAAAACACTGTCAGGCTGGTGTTCCCAAGCCATGTGAGGCTTAACTGGTTCAAGCAAGCCCCTGGAACTGAGTTAGGAAGAGTACAGGAAAGCAGAGCAAGGAGGCCAGAACTGCTCCGATGCTCTGGCCTTAGTTACTTAGTTACTGCACATGCTACAAGTTCGAAATGGTTTTCAAGGACAGCAACACGTGGACTGCATTGCAGGAAACTAATTTGGAGATTACCAGCTCAGAGAAGACTGAAGCCAAGCTACCCCTCTCCTGGAAGGGGTAGAGATGGACCACTGCCTGAAGCACTCCCTGCCCTGGAGACCACCTGAACTTCAGGTGACAAAGGTGGTGCCCCCAAGCTACAAACGCATTCCTTCAAGGGCGGCGGGGGGGGGGGGAACCCACTGAGTCACCCACTATCAGCAACTCAGTTCTGTTTTGACAACCTTCACCTGGTCCACTGTCATAGCCAGAAGTGAGCACATCCACAGTCTCATCTAAGCCAGTGCACTGATGGCAACTGTTGGGAAAATTTGGATAAATCCTGTCAGAAAAACGTTGCTTCTGTGTGCTTTTGAATTGTGGAATCGATCCTGTACTCCTCCTCAAACCAAGCTAAGTCACTGTTTAAAACGGCATCCCCCCCCCCCCCCCCCTTTCCCTCCCCTTTAGCTTTAAGCTACAGTAGACAGGCCATTTGGTCCAAATATATATTATATACCTTCACAATGATTAAATAATCATTGTTGGAATTCACACTTTACCAGGAAGTATCTTTTGCTAGCCCAGAGGGCTGCAAGTGCCCTGGCCATTCAGAATGGTGCGGATGCATTACTTAGGGTCTGAGTCTAGATGAGCTTATGAGTTCATGAATAGTTTCTCAGTAGCTTGAATTTACATGCCTAAGCAGACCTGGAGATGGGTTCAAGTTACTCAACTAAAGTGTCAATACAATGCAATTAGAAATATTGTAATCTCATTGTCTCTGTATGATTGACTGACATTCCTTTATCTGTTCTGTATGTGATGACCTCAGAACCTTATTGTAATGTCTGCATTCTGCCATCAATTACCCTCTACCTGTGTACATGACTGGGAGGGTATAAAATACCCTGTAGTTGTATTGAAACTTTGCAGCGAGTTCACCTCTGCGTGCATGGTAATGCATTATCGTGAGTCTACTGCGGGAACCTGGGCCAAACAATAAAGCCACAGATGGTCTGAACACTTGATCTTTCCCACGAACCCGAGTTTTATTTCCTCCTTGCAAATTGAAATTCCAGGATTTTCTGACACAACACACTCCAAAGCTCCAGGTGACCACACATGTAGTGGCACAGCATGGCCTCCAGGGAACCCCCTGTAAGGAGAATCTTCATGGCCCAGCAATATTTCCCATGCACCACCTTCT